GGAGACTAGTGATTCTTGCCTCTCTTCAGCTTACTTTGGTTTGTATTCACTTTGGATCACTGAATTTCTACACCAAACTTTATTTTATAAGCAGAGATCATACATGCCTGCATCATTTGAGATCAGATGATCAGGGAAATATTCAGGGAAATTTAACTCCTACTTTTTTTTTTCTCGTGGTTAGATGTTAAATTAGATAAAAATGAATTTTTGTGTCTCAGGTAAGCAAGAAGAGGATTATACTGTGAATTGTATCATTAGAACTTAGTATTAAATTTGTGTCTAAGTGTATGGGGCTTTGCTCCTTTTGCTAGACTTCTTGTGGGTTGCAAATGTTAAAAAAGGCTAATGACAGAAATATGTGAGACATCATTTAAGTCTGTTTATAAAAAAAAGATAAAAGAGTAAGGGTGTACTAGAAATCTGGGCTTGTAACAGTGCACCTGTATTTTAGTCACTCAAATGTTGAAATACCATGGATATAGCCTATTTTAGTATTCCAGTTTGCATGGTGAAATCCCAGGTGAGTGGAAGGAAACGATTTATTTCTAAAGGTAGATTTATCAGGACAGGAGAGCATGGCTTCTGTTGAAGAAGACTCAACTCAATGTGATAGGAATATGAAAATACTTTATATTAGTATTTTCAGCATAGCTCGCTAAGACTTGGCTTGTTATCATGTTGCTTTATGGTTGTCTCATTTATTTTGTGAACTTTATGTGCTATTTGATGGCTATGTAATTTTATTATATGCAAACTAACTTAAAACATCTCAATATAAATAAGGTAAAATGAGGATCAATGTATTCAAAATGGCTATTAAAGTGATATGTTGAGACAATGCATGCTTTTAAAGTTAAAACTATTATGAAAAATGATTATTTGAATATGAAAAACACAGTTTTATCAGAGCAGGAAAATAACTATTTGTTTTTATTTATTCCTCGCAGAACTCCTTACCTGCCTATAGGAAACAAGGTTTTTTTATTCCAGTATGAACTTAATGGATGCTTTAATATTTGATGTTCTTACTGTGGAGAATTTTTTATTTCTTGAAATGTTTATTTTTGATTCTTCTCTCCATAGGCAACACGGAAGGAGATTGAGAAACGCCAGGTGCATCTTAAGAGCATTGGTGATTTGGGAGAGCATTTGAAGTCAGTAGTGAAAGGAAAAGAAAGTCTAGTGGAGAATAAACTCAGTCTCCTGAACAGTAATTGGATAGCAGTAACCTCACGAGCAGAGGAATGGTTAAATCTATTACTGGTAAGAATACTGTATTTGTGCACCTAATTTATTAAGCAGGATTTTAATGTAAATACATAAAAAATATTTGGTGCCCGATTTTTAACCTTATGGGATTGGTTTTTCTGGTCTCCTAGAGTATGCTTATCTAATATCTAGATAGATGAACAATCAGCTTGATTATTTTTTTCTACAACTTTAACAATCTGGTTACATTTTTACCTAGTAACATCTCTGTGGATTCTTGTTCCCTGGGTCTTCCCTTCCATCACTGCATCAGTAGAGCTCTCCTGGATCACTCTTTGCCTTAGTGAATGAAAAGCAGTTTCTCCTCAGAGCCTTTAGTTATTTGAATATGAAACAAGTGAAGGAAATAGATGAATTGAATAAGTTTTGAAACCTGCCAGCTGCTTTTGACTGCATTACCATTGCTGTTTGGATCTCGAATATGGTTTGGAAGTAAATCCCCATGTTCATGTTGGTTTGGTTCACATGTGCATGACCTAGATTTTTTAAGGGGGCAACTTTGAGCTGTGATCTGATCCTTCAGACCAGTGTGAGCTTCCTTTGGACAGTTTTGTGGTGCATGTTTGGTGGGGAAACAAAATAAGTCTAGCCCAAAATCAAACCATAAACAACAAGGAATAAATAAAAGCCATATAATACAGATTTCAGAGCTGTTTTATACTCCTGGCAGGGTCTTAAGTAAATTCTCCTCTAAAGTTCATTCTGCCATGAAGAGATGACAATTTGAATGCATAAATGCAAAAGGTTTTAAACTGTTCATTCACTAGAATCCTTTACAAGATCTTCTGTGTTGTTGCTGTTGCTGAAATAATAGAAAAGCAGTTTCAAGCCATAGAAATTGAAGTGAATCTCAGGGTTGTATTAACCTTTATCGTGACTTCAGCATTTCAGAGCTTGACGTCTTAGAGCTCCACTAGAGTCCATGTGGCTGCCTTAAGAACACGTCTGGGACTGGCTTACAGCATACCCATGGGTCCTCTTCTGCTCTGTGTGGCATACAAGTGTATCTGGCTGGGTGTATTCTTTCTGGAAAACTTAAGCATTTCCTTCAGTATTATATAGGCACTCAGCTTTGATGTAGAACTGTTTAGAAGAAACATATAATGGATTTTTTGGACTTGTGCTCTCTCTTTCTCTGCTTTGGCTTCTTGTGATAGTATTTGCTAGAAGCCATGATAAAGAAGGTGTAAGTGAGGACACTGGTCCTTTATTATGCTTACTATTTTTAGAATAAAGTATAGATATGTCCAGTTAGTGGCCCAAAAGATGGTGCTGGGAAAACCTTCAATCTTACGTATACACATATGCACTGCACAGGGTTTAAAATAAAATACTGCAGTTTCTCTGCTAGGAAATAGTATTCTTTGTGACCAAAAAGAACAGCTCTGTAACATTTTTCGGTGACTGTTACTGTGACTCTGCTGAAGTATCCATATTCTTGTAGTCTATATTCAGAAAAACACATACTTCACTGGAAAATTCCAGGTGGACATACCTTGACCTCATTGTAGTGAGCTCACCAAGAGAAGATCAAAGGTTTTAAATTAAAACAAATAAACAAACAAACTAATCAGAATATCATCTAGAATAGCTTTTTAAAAGCAAACTCAAAGGAGAGAAGTTAAAACATAAATGAAAGCTTTATATACAAAGGTCTCCTTTCAGATTCTGATTTTGCAAGTGGATCCTTGTTTCTATCTTGGTTTCATTTAATTTAAGGGCTTCCCAAAATGGGTTCTGTAGCTGATTTCTACGAAGTTCTTGTCATCACAATGAGGCTGACTATCAGCTGCCTGCTCCTCTCAGCAGTCTCCTTGAGCTTCCAGCACCCGCTTCGTCCTTTGACCAGATCACCCTCCTCTTTGTCTGCCTGTTACTTTGGAAGCTTCTGCCTCTCCTATAATGTCTTTTCAAACAAATTATAATATAAATGAGGAATAAACAAATAAAAGATGTTCTCCTCCACAGAAGCAAGCACTTCCTGCAAAGTTAATTTTCATAATATGTGCATGCTTTCCACAGTTTGCATAATTATGGCTATTTCAATTCTGATTGCTTTCTTGTATGCAGTATTTACCTTTTTCATATACAGGACTATCAAAAGCACATGGAGGCTTTTGATCAGAAAGTAGCTAATGTCACGACTTGGATGTATCGTGCTGAAATACTGTTGGATGAATCTGATAAACAAAAACCCCAGCAAAAAGAGGAAATTCTTAAGGTAAAAAAAAAACGTGATTTTCTGGAAAGCATTAATTTGATTCTAAAAGCAACATGTCAAATCTAGTGGGTTTTGAAAGGTATTGCATTTTGATAGAATAACATTCTTTTTTTTTTTTTTTCCTGTGATGAAGCTAGCCTCTGGCAGCTTGTAGATTACTTAATAAATTGACATTGCTTAGCAGAATTTAAATCTCTGCAGAAGAAAAAACATATATATTATAAGGCTTGGGGACTTCATGGTGAGTAGAACAGCATCTCTTTAAACCTGTGTTTGCTGGAAATTCTCTCTTAAACACACCCGGTTTAAGAAAAAAGAAAACACTTTTTTCTCTATGATTTTGTTTTAAACTACTTTTCTATTTTCTGTGACACTGTTCTGATATCTGTTATATCTGCATTGGTTGTCTCTGTCATATGATTGTTTTAATTCTGTAAACTTTTTGTGGTGATGCCAGACTACCATCACAACATACAAGAATACTTTATGATGAACTGGCTGTGTTACATGAGGTCAGCGTACATACCAAAAGCATTATTTGGCCTGTTGCATCATTTGACCATCCAATTAAAAACTGGCTTCTCAGTAGAATGACTTTTAAAGTATCTCATACTGAGTAGCTTCTTTGTTTGACAGTAATAAAAAACTCTGAATTATCATTTATGTGGATTTTGTTTTTCTGCACAAAGCAGTGTGAGGCTTTATTTCGTATTCACTGCATGGTCAGTGCCCACTACCTGAGGAATGGTTTACAAATCAAAGAGAGAAGTGTATTGCTGACACTAACCTAAAGATAGTATTTCCAAAGGCAAAACTTCACAAATTCCAATGCAGCTGTATTTTCCAACTAGCCTGTACATAGAGCATAAATCAGTGCCTCATTGATCTCAGAAGAACAATCAAAGGACAGACTTTTGTAGGAGGATGAGAAATTTTACCACCATAATAAAGTACAATTATCTTTTCCATCAATACAGACATATATTTGTTTTGTACAGAGACATATCACACAGCAAGTGAAATGTAATTACTAAAGACCAACATTGTTCATGATTCTGTTATGTCGAAGTATCTCTTTGGGCCTGTGCTCTTATTAGGCTCTAACATTAAGACATCTAATGCAGAGGAAGATGGTATTGTTTTCCCTCTGTTTTTTGAAATAGGGGAAAGGCATATTGAAAAAGATCACACCAGTGTTTATCTGGTAATTTTTCTATACTCTACTATGATTCTGAATGATAACGAAGACAACGGCTATATATCCAGTGAGTTAGCAGCACTTCTTAGCTTTAGGACAAATAGAATAATCTAGTGCACTCTAAAATAAACTGAGGATTGAATTTTTAAGTAGTTGTGTAGAAACATTTTTTTCTGTAAATTTGAGACGTGAATAGAAATGTTGTGTAATGCATTTCTGCCGTGTTTTCACGCTTACTCATAATTATCTGAATTTGCTTTGTGGTTTTGCTCCCTATTCCTTTGCACACTCTCTCTCTCTCTCTTTCTCTCTCTTTGCATTTATTACTAACTTCAAGCCCTGTCTCTTGCTCACGGACTGTAGCGCTTAAAGGCTGAGCTGAATGATATGCATCCAAAGGTGGACTCTGTGCGTGACCAGGCAGTAGACTTGATGACAAACCATGGAGATCACTGCAGGGAAGTAATAGAGCCTAAACTGTCAGAGCTCAACCAACGATTTGCAGCTTTATCACAAAGAATTAAGAGTGGAAAGGTAGGAGGAACTGCTTCCATGGGGAAATACATACAAAATGGGATTTATATAAGGTACAGAATTACAGCTATGTGGGGAATTGCAACTTTTTAATGTTGGGTGTTCACATTAAAAATAAATAAATATATAAAAAGTAGATCCTTATAAATTTAAGAAAAAAGTGAGGTTTTGGGGTTTCAGCATCTAAGATCTTCCTCTCTTCACTATTTCATCATTAGAAATACTTGGTGGATTTATAGGAGTATAACATTGATTACTTCATGAACTTGAATGTCTTCTTGGAAGTGGTAAGATTAGGTCTTCTCAAAGCATGAGGGTTTTTGTTTGTTTGTTTGTTTTTATTTAATGGAGATTAGGTTTCGGGGAGTAGTTTTCATACTAAATGAACCTAATCTTTTCCTATGAGGCTGTGGCTTCACCAAGGTTTTGTACATATACAGATTATATCAACTGTACTTCATCTATTCATCTGGTCTACTAGTTTGAGTGTTTTACTGAACCTAAATTTTATATGGATTAAGTCATTTTCAGCCAAGTTTTGATTTCTGAAGTGGGATGAAGGAGGACATAAGATACCTCTTTACTCCATTGCATTTACTGCCTTTATCACAGAGATCAATGTGTAAGGGGTGGAGAACTGAAGCAGGCAGCCATGTGGGTTGGTATGTAGGATCCTGATCTTAGCTTCTAACTGTGGTGGCTAGTGCAGTAGCACTGGAAATAAATGTGCAGAGGACCAGGAGCAGAGCAGGAAAAAAAGCACAAATCTCCTGAGCTCCAGTGCTGTGCACTATTTAAGTGCTTTCCTTTCTTGTGTTTCTGGACGGCTGCAGCATACTTAAGAAAGTGTAATGGTAGAATGGATTTTACATTCTCCTACACACAAAAAAAAATCTTTTAAGGTGTAATTACTACACTACAGTACTACTGTTTCCTGAATTCTGTCTTAGGGTTTGTGGGTTTGTTGTTGTTGTTGTTGTTGGTTTTTTTTTTTTTTTTTTTTTTGTCCTTTAGTAATTTAATTTCCTCCTAGAACACACGACCCTCATGTAAACACCATACAATGATGTCAAAAACTGTTAAGCCTTAAAAAAAACATGAACAAAGGCACACGGTCTTCATCTGCTAACTTGGGTGCTCAATACCATATGTAATCAGCGCATTCTTTGTGGCATGCTTGGGTTTATTTCAGTTGCATTTCTGGAACAGAAAAGAGTATGCCCTGTGAAAAATGCTTCATGCAAGAAGATGTGGAGTAATGGAAATGTTGGAAATGTTCAAGAGATATACAGGGATACAATCCAGGGTTTCTTCTTCAAAATTGTAATTGAATTGTGCACTAACGAACCATAAAAATGAACAGTGGCATATGGTTGGTATCATTAAAATTAACAGCAGCATGATTCACATTAAATTCAAGGTTTGTACAAAAAAAAAAAAAAGGTTATTTATGAGTCCATTGGAAAGCTATTTATATAACTTATCATTTTAAAATATATCTTATTTCTGTGTTTGAAGAAAAAATATTCAGAAAATATTTGTTACACTTGATAATTCTTTTTCTGTAACTGGAGTAGTACATGCGAGTAAACTGCTGGATTGTTGAAGTCTAATGTAATATTTAGCTAGAGGCAAAAGTTGAAAATATTCTTTGTTTTGTAAGTGCTAACAAAGTCTGACTGCATTATTTTGTCTTTTCTAGCTGATTTCATCTGGATGGTTTCTAATCATTTTGCAGTTCAAAGAAGTGTGTGTTATTTAGCTAGTTTGTGCTAGTTTGTTCCACCAATCTATTTTTCTTTTATTATAAATTTCTGCATGACATCGAACAAAAGACCATTTTCAAAAGAATCAACTTTTCCTAGGTCATTTTAACATAAGAAAATATTAAGTAAAAATCTAGTTGGAGGTCATGATTAATGGTCTTATGTAAAAATGACAAAGTTGTTATAACTTTTTCCTGTCTTTTTATTAGAATCCTCTATTTGGAATTATATGGATCATTAACATTTGAAAACGTTGGAGATGCACAGGATCTTAAGCAGAAAAATATGTATCTTTTTCCAAAGATTCTATGATTCTGTTAGTACATTTTCACTGGATTACTTTGCTGCTACCAGACTATTGCAGCAAAGGGAATTCTTGATATTGGTTAAAGCTATTTCTAACTTGATTTCTCTTTTTGAGAGAGTGCATGGGCACAAAAATTCCTGCCACTGCTGCTTGTGCAGTGATTGTACTGAATGAGGACAGAGCATGAACTTCAGCTAATTGCTCAACTGCGTCATGAAGACCACTCAGCTTCATCTCAAGGCCCTGAAACCTGCCACATAGTTGTGATATGGTTAATATGGTCTCTCTGTTTTGTCACCTTGACTGATCAAGTGGGTCATTTTACAGGGAGAAAGAGTGCAAGTCTCTTGTAATCTGCAGATGACAACTTAACTTTCCTTTGGGAAAATCATTTTGGCACAAAGCCGAAACAACTGTGCTGTGTCATGTTTTATTCTTTTCATTTGTTGTAAGGCAATCTGGAGTTCCCTCTGTTTTACCATGCATTACAAAGTGCTCCAAGGCATCCAGGGCTGATACAGTCTTTAGGATATTGAGAAATTATTGTTTGGCTTAAGAAACAGTGGGACGACCTGTAGATGATTTATGCTGTTTCCGTTGTGCACTGTTAGAATACATATATGGGTTCAGTCAAAGAAGGAGAAAAACATGCTCGTCAGGAACAAGTTTTTATCAATGTGCAATCTGCGAGCATGTTAGTCTTCCTCATGGTGCTGGCTCTCATTTTCATCCAAAAAAGATTATAAAGCTCCTTGTTCAAGGTGAAGTGGAATGGCAGCGTGCGCACTGAGCTTTGTATGCTAGACACCCAGCAGGATGAGGGAAAGAATTTTATTTGTCATTCAGTGCCTAGAAGACACAATCTTAGGGAATGGACAGCTAGGGTTTGATTGGCAGAGGTAGTTTATAGTAATAGGTAAATAGGTACTGCATAAGACAGACAAAAATGTGTCTGTGTTCTTGTCTGTACTGCTGACTTGATGTATGATTTTGGATAAATGACTAAATTGCTGGATTCCATGTTTAGTCCACTTGTAGAATCAAAGAAACTATAAGAAACTATATTTTCCTTTTCCATGATTTCAGCTTTATGGTCTGAAAAGTTGTTGTTCTTTTATGTCTTGTAGTGAGGTTTAAGTACTTTTGAAGACATCCTCCAAAGCACTTGAGAAGAAATGACTGAATCGTTAGCTTTTATTCTATATTAACTATTCAGTTAACATGTTCTTCAAGCATAATTTTGAACTTGATGAAAATTTGGGAGCACAAAATGGTTATCTATAATTATTGTACATTATTATATTTCTATTAATATGCAAAATATTTGACTTGAAAATGATGAACCAGATACAGTTAAGGTGTTTTCACCCAAAGTCTTGTGGTTCATCTGCAGACAGCTCAGAATAGGTTACAGATCCTCTGGCTCCACCGGATGTCCAGTCTACCTTGTTTCAACTAATTAGCTGTTTCTTATAATTTTCCCTTGCATTTTATAATAAATATCAGTCAGACTGGAAAGAGAATAAAAAAGAATTGATCAGAATGCAATGTACTTTTGACTTTATCTAGTGGAGTTTTTACATCTTCTATCCAAAGTTTGTAAAACATCATAAATTACCATCAGTAATTACCTTTAAATGTTGTTCAGGAATCATGAGGTATTGGTTGCTTGATATTGCATTTATACCTGTGGAGAGAAAAAAGCTTTTACTGTTAATACTTTGCAATGCACAATAAATTGTGTGTGAGACTATATATAGACAGGTTTCAGGTAGATAAAGTAATGAAAAAGATGGTGTATTACTGTTAGTAAGTAGCCTGTGTCTTTTTAGTTTTTAAAACTGAAGTCAATGTAACAAGATGAAACATTGTAATTAATATTGTGCATCATTTTAGTGAGAATTTCCTCTGTTTTGTGTAGATTGAGGTTTTTTTGTTATCTTTTTTTGTTGAAAATTTTGTGAATCGTATCTCTTTTAACGAGATTGCTTTGTTTTCATTTTCATGCATTACAAAATATTTTTAGAGGAATATCTTGTGAGAAGATAATCTGTCTTTTGTTTTGAGCTAGTGATTGTATAATTCACCTGGCACTTTAGTTATTCTTTGTGACAGAGCAATGATTTCAAAACACTGAAACAAATTTTCATGACATTGTAGTAGTAGGTGGTTATTCAGCTGTATGGATTGCTTGTTGCAGTGAGTAATTTCTGACAAACCAGATTTAGCCAAGGAGTGCCAAGGTCTAATTTCTTAGATAAACTGATAAGTAACACCACTTATTTGAACCCCGTTTAGCACACAAACGCGAGACTATCAGAGTGCTTTGTAATCTTCACTCATCATTGTTATATTGATCTTTAGTTCTATAGAATTGTTCTATTTTCTTATATGGAAATTCTACAGAATTGTTAAATACATATCTTTATTTGTATCTTTGGATACTCTGAGGCTATATGGTATAGCAATAATTTCATATTACAAAAAGTCTATCAGAAATTTTGCAGTAAGAGGTAGAACAGAGGTCTGTCTTATGTTAAACTGTTAAGTATATGATTTAAATTAGCAATCTGTCTGTCTCCCATTTTAGCCCTCCACTCCTTTGAAGGAATTGGAGCAATTTGACTTCGATATACAAAAATTGCTTGAACCACTGGAGGCTGAAATTCAGCAAGGGGTGAATCTGAAAGAGGAAGACTTCAGTAAAGATATGGTAAATTGGTTGAAATGGAAATCTGAGTGAAGTAGGAAAGGAGGCAAATAAAACCTGGCTGACAATTAGAAGCTTCTGTATCTGCTTTTGGATCTTTAGATATTGATTGTACATGCTAATATATGATTAGCATGCTAATATATTATAATTGCAGAGATCCCAGGTTAGAATCCACTAAGTATTTTACTGATACACTTGCTGTTTGTCTTGATGTCTTGAACCATGTAAAAATAACACAGCAAAGCGGGAATGTTATCTACAGGCACTGCACTGTGACAGAATATGACAAGGATATTAAAATTTCTGTAGCAGTAGAAAGATCAAGAATACTCAGAATGGCACATCTATTTGGGTAATACACCAAGAGAAGAGCTTCACTATAGACAAATAATAGATGATGATTCTGTGAAATAAAATGCTGCAAATGCCAATTGGTTCTTAACAGATCTGATCATACTATTTATTTTGAATATTTTGTGGCGAATAGTTTGTGGCAGTTGTATGTTTTATTACTTATATAGTACTCGTGAATCAAGTATGTGTTGTTTGCATGTTTGTGCAAATTAAAAAAAAAAAGAAAAAGGAGTAGTAAAATGTTACTGTGCTTCACTACTATCTGGATTCTATTCAATTTAACTAATTCTTCAAATATTTCTATTTTATGTCCCTGGTGAAAGAAATCTTTGCATGACCTTTATTTATTTATTTATTTTCCAGGGGAAAAAAATAGTGGCTGTTTAGGGCAGTGTTTTTTTGTGAATTTTGAGTGAACTTTGAGTGAATGAAGTTAAGTTGTAGTGTTAAGTCATAGTGGAGCATATTTTGTTCCTTTTTTTTTTACATAAAATGTTCAGGTATAGTTGAAGTGATTTGCTTTGAAATGCAGTGGCACAGATTCATCATCTCTATTAAAAATGCTTAGTTGTACTTTTCCCCTGCCAGAATAGTAACTTTGCATTGTGATGATACTGTTACATGAGGTGTTTAGGAATCACATGGCTTTCTAGTGTAGTAGCAATCACTTAGAGTATTTTAGATGTTTATCTTTTTATTGTAAAGTAAAATCGATTTAATTTTTTTTGCATTTAGTACTTTCATCTTGTTATCCTGGATGCTGCATAAAATCTAATCTCAAACATCTGTAGGATTTCAAATGCTCTTTTACCACTCAAGTACCTAAATGTGTTGTAGAACACAAGTAAAACCTATTGTGTCTTCAGTATAGAACTGTAAATGGATGCTAGGTGATTCCTTAGTAATGAAAATGCAGGCTTTTAATGTCTATATTTCCTAGTATTTAGATAATAAATAGGTTTAAATACTTATTATATGTTATTTTTTAAATCAGAGTGAAGACGATGAGAGCACAGTAAAAGAATTGCTGCGAAGGGGAGATACTCTTCAAAAGAAAATCACAGATGAGAGAAAACGGGAGGAAATAAAGATAAAACAACAGCTGTTGCAGACTAGACATAATGCTCTCAAGGTATAGGAGATAAAGTTATAAGCCCATGCTACTAAACCTGTTTTTTACCTTTATTCACAGCAATGTCGTATTAAGTTAAATGAAACCTCAGTACTATTTAGTGAATAGTCATTTATAACAATTCACCTCTAAGCATAGGTTTGTTTATAGATGTCTCTTGATGCCTTTGGAAAGATGTATTAAGTGTTCAGATTAAAAGATACTGTTTTGTCCCTAGTTTTTACTATTTTGTCACTGATGACTGCCAGTTGAACTACGGAGATGTCTCTGTTAATAATTACTTTTTTTTTTTAACCCTGTGTGCATGTTCTGACTTTCTGCAACTTTGAAGACCTTACTTAGAATCATTTCTCATAAATTTATATTTTTAGTTGTAGAACACCCTCATCCTACTGAACATAATGATATTTTCAGCTAAGGGGCTGAAAACCAAAGAATATATCAAAATCCTTTTTTATAATACTGCTGAGTATAGTTGCCTGGTACTGTGCCTGCAAACATCCACAGTGCAGTGTATTTGAACATAACTGAGTGTCCTCTTCTCAGGAAAAAAATGTGAGGACAGAAAGAACCATAGCTGGACGATCACCTTAGTTACCTAACTGGAGCTGTGGACTCTGGCTAGTAGAAGAATTTGTTTCCCTCTATCCTAATTGTTAGTATTTTGCAGGGGAAGACATTTTCCTCTTGAAAGATGCCATTTTTTTTATGACTCTAGAAATATGGCATGATGGCAATGTAGTATTACTGATTTACAGGTAACATCTTTTCTTAGTGTGTGGATTTCATTTTAATTTTACTGACATTTGTGAATTCAGCAAGCAAATAGATAAAAGATACAGTTGTTTTCTTCACGTTTAAAAGAAACTAGATATGTATTATATTTATTAGATTTTTTGAGTGATTGAAATTAGATGCAAATAATAATATTTTCTTAAGTGAAATATGAAATTTGTTCTCCAAAATCTGCTTTTCACCAGATAAGCTTACTGGCCACATAAGCTTACTGACCATATATATGGAATAGAGTGATTGATTTTGAGGAACACAATTAAGGCATTCAATCCTGTCAAATAAAATTCAAGAACAGTCTAAGCAAATTCATTTTAATATTTTTACATAAAGTGTATTGGCTATGTTTTAAGTTATTTGCCAGTAAGTTACTGTAGTGAATATATTTTCTGAATTCTGCATGAGTGAATTTAAATAGTTGAAAGAAATTCACATAGAGTATTTTTGTATCGATTATAGGAGATGAAATAACATTTTTAAACATCCTGTTAAAGAGAAGTTTTAATTCTTCTATAAAGCAACTGAGTCTTAAACACAAGACATTTACTTTATAAATTATCTTTAATTTTAAAAACAGAAAACTTGTCTTTACATGTTATTCTGTGTGGAAACGATTTTCCTTTGAGCAGCTACAGAGTTGGCATGCAGGCTAACATATCACAAGAGACCACAAAGCACAGTAAGCCCACTTATTCCTAGATATTAAGTAGTCTGTGTTTCCATCTATCCAGTAAGTATTTCTGAGTAGAAGTATTCCATATAAAATGTTGACATTTATATATAGTATTTTTTTCTCTGAATATTGGTGAATGCATCAGTTGTTTAGTCAGCATGTGAAAAAAAAAATGAATTAGGGAATCTCCTTCAATGGGAAAAAATCATCTGCATTAAATTGAGGAAATTTTTTTTGTTGATTTAGATGTCCACACTTAATTTTTAAAATGTTATGCACTTTTCATTTTTTCTCTTCAGTGTCCACACATTGATATCCATATTTTATAAACCGTTAATTTGTATCTAATAATGTCTGCACTGTGAACAGGACTTGAGATCTCAAAGAAGAAAAAAGGCTTTAGAGATTTCTCATCAGTGGTATCAGTACAAGAGACAGGCTGATGACCTAATGACATGGCTGGATGACATTGAGAAAAAGTTAGCCAATCTACCAGACCCCAAAGATGAGCAGAAGCTAAAGGTAATGTTGTTGTGGGATGGGAACAGTAGATTTTTTTAGTGATATTTTATGAATTTAAAAGAAACAAATAAAATATTCAGATAGATATAAAAAAACAAACAAATCAGTACTTTATTTCTGTCTTATAAAAACACAAACAAAAACCCTTCTCACACTACTTCTTCAAATGGATTTTTGAAATTTTGCTATATATATCTTGTATTCATCTGTTATGTAGAATACTATATACTTGATTTGAAAAACACTAAATGAAAGATCCTGCTAATAATTTGAAAACTGTGCAATGTATTGAAAAGCATCAAATGTTTTCTAGTAAACATTGTAATTGATTTTATGTATCTTTGTTCCAGATGAACAAATGACTTACCGATATATGGATGACCACTTTCTCATGCTAGCACATTCATTTTCATCAGAACATACTCATATGTCACTGTCAAACTCTCTAGATTTATTTACATACTGTCTAAGGTTTTCCTACTTTATTTTGCATCGTCTTTCTTTGCTTCATTCTCTGTTGAGTTTCCCACAGAGTGAAAAAGGAGCTAAGTAATTCATTTAGAAAAGTAATATTTTTGTGAACTTTTGTCTAAACACTAGTTGTCCTGAATATACTGATCCTTACAGATACAGGAAATTCTCCAATTGCCCATCAGAGTGCCCTAGCAAGAATCAGGAAGTGGAAACTGTTGGCCTTTGCTAACTGATTTTCAAGATATACTAGTTGTTACCGCCTCTACAGACAGTCTACACGGAGGTTCTCCAATTTAAGTTATGTTTGTTTTGTCTAACTGTAAAATAAGACATGAAATAACTGTACACTTTAACTGTAACAATAAAACAGAAATGGAAACTCTGAAAAAAGTATTTTGCTAATTCTAAGTTGATGGATCTAGTTAGCTAACTGTCCTGGGCCCTGTATTGGTTTTGCTCACTAGGAGATTGGTGGAGAGTTGGAGAAGAAGAAGGAAGATGTGAATGCGGTGCACAGGCAAGCTGAGCGCTTGTCTAAGGATGGGGCTGCAAAAGCAGTGGAGCCAACCCTGATTCAGCTCAGCAGGCGCTGGCGAGATTTTGAGAGCAAATTTGCTCAGTTTCGAAGACTCAACTATGCACAAATTGTGAGTTGTTACCAGCAAACCCATATGTTTGCAACTGCTACTACTAACAGCATCCTACTAACCACGAGAGCTTCAGAGGCAGTGTCAACTCTTCAGATGTTAGTAAGAAAAAGCCTGTTGTCTGCCAGTGGGGGAATCTTTATTGTCTACTACAGTAGTTCTCTGCTCTTGCACTTGGTCTTAAAATTGCCCTTAAGTTAAAGCAGCTAACTACAAAAAACTCAGCAATGCAAAACTCGTGTTTGTTTTCGTTGCCTCATCATTTTTTCGTTTCCAGTCTGATCTTGTCAGTTTGCCATGCGTATATTTTGTTTAGTAAATATGTGTAAATCAGAAAGAAGTATTATTTTCAAACTACCCATCCCATGCCAATTTTAATTATGTTTTTATTTATCCATAACACATATAAAACTGACTTTAAGAATAGAGTAATTTATTCTTGTACTGTGAACATGTGGCCAGGTCCTCAAATGCTTCAAATCCCAATGGAGTTTTTGCAGGAAATGATACTCTTTTTTTATTATTATTATTTGACAGGATGGAAACATCATTTCTTAAACCAACTTTTTATCTTGATATTGAAAGTTTTAATTATACATAAAATATAATTACTCTTACTGGTTTATTCATGCTACAATAACTGAATAAATAAATAAAGGGGAAATAAATTGTCACCATTCCAGGTTTGTGATCAAAATGGGTATTAGGCAAGTTACTTATCTGGAAGATTAGCTGTGGTTGCTTTTGCAGTAATATAGCAGCTTTTCTTTGTCATTCTTACTTTATATTCACTGCCTGCTGATCTTTGGTTCTATGTAACTAAAGATAAGGTTGAGTCCTGCTTACTATTAAGAAAGTTATGGATCTTTTAGAATCTCAAAAATGCTAGTGTTAAAGAGGTATTTCAGCAAATACCATTTTGATTGTTTTTTTTAAAAGCACCTAGACTACAAGACATCCATACTGAAAGGACAATGAAGATTTAAAAACATAAAATGTGTTTACTACTTGATATGTGATGGGCCAAAGCTTAAAAAAAAGTTTGAAAAATAAGCAATAATGTGATAATGTGTACCCTTTTGGTCAATACCATCCTTTTTTAATATACTGAGTGTATTAATCTGGTTTTGTCTTAAAGCTTTCTACTATTGACTTATGTAATGTATATAAAAATAATTTGGATAGCTTTACAGTTAATGGAAGCAATCAGAGAAACATTAACTTTGGTATGTATGTTATTAAATCTTGTTCCAAATGACTACTCTTTTGAGATTACTGTGGTTTGTATTAAACTTGATGGATTGTAATCCATTGCAAATCATTTATAATGGCAAAGAGCTAGAGCAGGCTTCATTTTGTCTTGAATATGAGTCTTTTTTATAATGAATACATTTGTTCTTTTGATAAACAACTAAGAAATAGGAATGATCATGTAATTTATATAAAAATATTCTGCTGTCATTGTGTCCTTTATGTCTCCCACCACCTTCCTTGAGAGAAGACTGGTAAATCCTTTATAAAATTTTGCTTGCAAATTAAAAATACATATTAGTATATTTTGCTCTAGAATTTGGAGAAATAAAAAAAGTATATGTGCTTTTGAATTGGTCAATGATATATTTGTAGCCACTGAATTTGTTTTAGAGTCATATAACCACTGCATGTATACTTATTGTTAAAATTATTTCTATATTTATAGCCTTAAGATATTTAAATTTTAAATCTCCATAGTGCATGCAGGAGGGCTACTTAATATTTATCTTTGAAAAGAGGGCATTATTCTATTAAATTTACATTCTTACATCATAGTTACATTATATATATATGATATAATATATATATATGTATATAATATTGCATATTAGAGTTCTTATTCCTCTGGAAAAAAAAAAACCTCATTCCTCTGGAAAAAAATCTTTCTCTGCTGATAATGAGCATGGTAGCACAGCATTCATGTGAATTACAACTGAAGTTTTCTAGAGGCTGTTGCAACTGGTGAGAGGCAGTGTATTCTCATTCCTTAAATCAGAATGAGAAGTACAATTCCTTTGTTAGTCCTTCTTCTGGCTTTGCTAAGGCACTGAAACAGAATGAATTTCTCTGTCTTCTTTTTYTTTTTTTTTTTTTTAATATAATACAGCATGAATACCTACCTCACAGGAATGTTGTGAGAATTAATTGTTTGTCTAAGACTTAAAAATACAAAGGAGAAATGAAAATTCAATGTAGTCGTTCATGCACCAGCAACAATAGCCTTCACAGAGATTATTCATGCTGACAACCAACTGAATAAAATCATGATTCAATAAGAATTCTCAAAGGAATTTCTTTTTAAAGCAAAGAAATAAGAAGCTTCTACATTTCCATTTATAATGTATTCTATATGCAACAATAGATATACTCAACAGTTGAAAGGTACCATTTAAAATATCTTAAGAATTTGGTTGAACTGTATACCTTGCTATTCTCTAGGATTCATTAAGTAAACATAGCAAGATGCAGCGTTAAAGAAGACATGTAAATATGTAGCTCAATGACAGAACTGTTTGCCACCTTTGGTGGCACTATAATTCTGATATCAGGTGATATTAGAATGATCGTGCCCCCCGGATTTTACTTTTCTCCAATTTTTCTTAGAAATACCTTTCAAAAGGGTAGTGTAACTATAAAAATATGAGAAGTTATTTGCTTAGAATGATAGATTTTATTAAAATCAAGATTATTTTTCAGACACGCACCAGTCAATATCTGGCAACTATTTGACATATATGCATATATATAAATATACAAAGGGGTATATTCTGCCACTGATTTGGCAGCATAGTATGATTTAGCTGAAACCATGAAAAGCTGAAGTATAACTCCTGTTAACATAATGAGTTTAAAGTATTTCTTATATAAACTTTCCCACTGTATGCTCTGCTTAATGCATTTTGAGATGTTGCTTTCAAAGAGGAGAGTGTGACATCCTTAGAGAAAAAGGTGATTTATCAAAATAAACGCGAGCCAGTTTCAAGTGATGCAGCACAAAGTTGCATAAAATGACCCTGAGTGAGAGGGAAAAAAAAACCATCAAAACTATAAAAAGTTGTTGGTGTTGTCATGTCAGTTGCACTTCCAATGCAGTGTCTTCACAAATATATATGGGAAAATAAACTATGGCGCAAATTCAGTGGAGGAAATTTCAGTTTTCTCATGCAGGTTCAAGTATGTAGCTAGGGTGATTTAGCTACTTATTTCTGTATTAAGAAAAGTTTAATTTCTGCTTCATCTCTACTAAGAGTTTCAGTTTGAAGCCTGTCAGCTTCAACATGGATTGTGAAAAAAAGGCACTTACTTAGAGTTAGGGATTTTATGGCTTCTTTTTAAAATGATTAACCAACAAATTCCATTCCTGTACTTGGAAGCTGAAGATACTCTCTAAAAAATAAGCCTTTCATGTTTAATCCTAATGAGTGTAGATTTTTTTTGTGTTAAAATTAATTGCATTTGTTTTTCAATAAAATTTGTTTCACTTAAATGGTAACAGTAGGAAGGTCTGGGGACATTTATGATTCTCTGAAGAACCTATCATCATTAAGCCTTGGTAGTTGCAACATGTTCTTGGAAATGAAAAACATCCTAAATCTTCCAGTTTTTATTTTTCTATGACAGTTTATTTGAGTTTATGTGAGTTTATGAGATTTCCAGGGTGATAAAATGGCTATCTTGTGTGGGGAAAAAAAAACCAAAAACTAAAAAACACCCTTGATTCACATTGTTTAGTTCAAATTGATTGATATAAAAATAACGCTTAATAAATTAATACTTATAAAAAAAAAAAAAAAAAACTTGCTCCTGTTTCAGGAGTCTTTGCACATGCTAATGCTGTGGATCATTTTAGATTTTGTTATGATGACTGAAATAATTTTACATGTGGAAGATACTGAAAGCCTCTATCACGAAATAGTATTATGCAATGAAAAGAAATGCAGAGCTCACACTATGTAAATTCTTATGTATATGTTCTACTATTCTTTTTCTTTTTTTTTCAAACTGACTTCTGCTATCCCATCCATTTTTTTCTTTTTCTGTCTCTGGTGGACTATTTATGCTGTTAACAGTAAACCAGGGTCTTTTTAGGGTCACAGAAATGTTTTTCTTAAAACCTTGTAACAGCTCTCAAAATCATATATGTCATTTATATTCAAAAAAAGAAATAGGCTTAACAAAGTCATTTCCATAATTTTCTTAGTGACATACACAAAAAATCTACTGAGATTCATGATCACTTTAGTATTGGAATAACTGGGCGTGGCCTTTAACCATACTGGAAAAAAAAAATCAGATGATAACAAGAGACTTTCATTTATTCCCAGTAAGACTATGTGGTGATCAAGAGAGAATGAGGAAAATAATTA